CCCGGCTTCTACTTGTCGTACTCCTCCCTTACTGAGTCCACCGCCTGTCCAGTCACAGTTCCAGTTACAGCCAGCCTCTCCACTGCCTGGTCCTTCTCCTTACTCTGTACCGACTAGAGGTCTTACGGAGCGTCGTGAGCCTGAGTCTCGTCCTGCGTCGCCTGAGTCTTGTCCTACGTCACCTGAGTCTCGTCCTGAGTCGCCTGTTCGCACTGTTCGCACTGGTCGACGTGTTCCGCGTCAGCGTCCTCCTCCTGTCCCCGGCACTCACTATATGACTCTGCGTCCTTCCACTGCTCCACAGCGTCTCCCTCTGCCGTCTCCTCTTGCGTCCTCTCTTCCTGATGGTCCGGACCCGGAGTCTGACTCCCTTCGTGCTGCTAGTCCTACTGTCACGTGTTTTCTGGCCACTGTTGTCACTGACCCTTCGTTTGAGTCCACTGCTGCGTCTGCTCTAGTTGCTAAGCTTGTTGACTTTGCTTCCGCCTGTCTTCTAGACTACGCCGCTAGTCTTGTTGCTGAGTCTGAGTCTGCGTCTGTCTGTCCTCCGTCCGTCGGGGGTGAGTGTGCTCTTGGCACGGACGTCCTTGAGGACAGACAGGAGGAGTTTGAGTGCTTTGCCGCAACTTTACCTCATCTCGTGTCCATGCTGCTTGCCCCTGAGGGAGACCCGGATGCACCAGACATCACGACCCCGCGCTCTTACGCAGAGGCGATAGAGGGTCCCTACTCCTTTCAGTGGCAGACAGCCATGGATGCAGAGATGGCTTCCTGGAAGTCCACATGCACCTATGTTGACGAGGTTCCCCCGCCTGGGGCGAACATCGTCAGTGGCATGTGGATTTTCAGGGTGAAGCGGTCGCCGGGTTCTCCGCCTGCCTTCAAGGCGCGTTACGTTGCACGAGGCTTCAGTCAGTGACAGGGAGTTGACTTCTTCCAGACCTTCTCCCCTACCCCGATGATGACCACTCTTCGGGTGCTGCTGCACGTCGTCGCTCAGCGTGACTACGAGCTACACTCTCTTGACTTCAGCACAGCCTTCCTACAGGGCAGCCTGCACGAGGAGATCTGGCTGCGCCGCCCACCTGGCTTCACTGGGTCGTTTCCTGCTGGTACCCAGTGGAGCCTCCGGCGGCCAGTCTACGGTCTCCGCCAGGCGCCCCGTGAGTGGCACGACACACTGAGGACGACTCTTGCTGCTCTTGGGTTTGCTCCTTCCACTGCTGACCCGTCGCTGTTTCTACGCACCGACACTACTCTGCCGCCGTTCTACGTTCTCGTGTACGTAGATGACTTGGTCTTTGCTACTGCTGACACTGAGGCACTCGCCCACGTGAAGTCGGAGCTACAGAAGAGACACACGTGCACAGACCTGGGTGAGCTGACAAGCTATCTTGGCTTGCGGATCACCCAGGACAGAGCACAGCGCACCATTACCTTGACTCAGTCACACATGGTGCAGCAGGTCCTTCAGCGCTTCGGCTTCACGTACTCCTCGCCACAGTCCACTCCTCTGCCTACCGGTCACTCGCTCTCAGCTCCACCTTCGGACGAGTCCGTAGAGCCGAGTGGCCCGTATCCAGAGCTTGTGGGCTGCCTCATGTACCTGATGACCTGCACTCGACCTGACCTTGCCTACCCTCTTAGCATTCTAGCACGCTATGTCGCTCCTAGCAGACACAGGAAGGAGCACATGGATGCAGCTAAGAGGGTGTTGCGCTACTTGTGCAGTACGTCGGGCATAAGGCTCGTGCTTGGAGGACGGGCTCGAGTTGTCCTCACTGGTCACGCAGACGCTTCCTGGGTTGACGATTTGGCTACGCAGCGGACGTCACAGGGTTACACCTTCAGCCTTGGCTCCGGCTCTGTCTCTTGGCGGTCTACCCGCTCGTCTTCTGTTCTCAGCTCCAGTTGTGAGGCTGAGATCTACGCAGGGGCCATGGCTGCACAGGAGTTACGCTGGCTCACTTACCTGCTAACTGACCTGGGAGAGCTGCCTCGGGCTTACGTGGCCACTCGGGCCAACACTGCTGATGTTTTCACCAAGACACTTCAGCCTTGTGATCATCAGTGTTTCTGTACTGTTCTAGGCCTTGTACCTACTGTACCTCACTTGCTTACTTCTTGACTCTGCTTGTACTGTAATCTCTATACATATACCTGCATGCTTACACTTGCTAGGTTGTGTTCATTGTATTGCTTGTTCTCCTTTATATAACTCTGCATGTGAACTGGCCTTGTGGCCATTTGCTTGTGCTCAGAATGCGTGGTGACGTCGTGATCCACCCTGAGCTTACTTTGCCTTTCTTGACCGGTCTTGTGACCTCTTGTTCTCCCCACTTTGCCTATGGGGGTGTGTCAAACTTATATGCTATAGTCTGTCTAGGCTGTAGTGGGGTAGTTCATACAGGGTACAACACTTTTAGGTTTCCTACTTGTACCCACCTGCTTGCTAGTTCAGTCATTCCTTCCTTCACTATTCCGACAGAGTCCACCTTTCCCGTGGTACAGCTTGAACTCCTGAGTGGTGCTATCTGCTTCGAGATGAATTCCCTTTGCCATTAGTTGACTGACGCTGAGTAAGTTATAACCGAGTCCTGCGATAAAAACCTTCGACATTTGCAGAATAACGTTGGTTTCGAGATTGAAGTTGAACTATCCTCTTTTGTCGTGTGTGCAGGCTCTGGTTGTTGGCGACGGTGATTAAGACTTCGCGCTGAAGTTGGTGTTCCTGTTGAACGAAGCAACCAGAGGAGCGCATGTGCTGTCCGCAGCAGCTGTACAAGAACCAGGTGTCTTTCCCGGACGGCTCGCTCTGGGCGATGGCTGCATACGCCGGGTTGGGCTCCAGTGATTCGCGACGAGGAGTGTTCTCATCGAGCTGTTCTTCTGGTGGGTAGTATGGTGGTGATCCGGTGATACAGGAGTCTGTCGTTCTTGTCATGCAGCTCACAATGTTTCTTGTACCTTGTGCAGGTTTTGTCGTCGATGTCGTTGAGGATTGTACTTGACTGGTGGGATGCGCCTGTGTAGAAGCCACTTGACTGCTTGATGGCCAAAGTCGTCGTTGCGGCGTTGAGTGCTGCTGATTCGGGCAGTGAGTGCGAGGGTGTCCTGACGTCTTGCAGAGATGGCAGAACGGTGGTACGTACTGTTGAGCTTGATGTTTGTTCTGTCGATTGTTGTTGTAGCGCCGTTGAGTGTGAAACGCGAACTCTGGTGCTGACGCTCTCTTCTTGTGTCGTTCTTCGTGTAGGTCCATATCCTGCTGTTCAGCGTGAATTTCGGCGCAGAGTGCCGCTTCGGAGATCTTCCCGTGAGCTCGAAGGATAGCTCGAGTGGAGCGCCAATGAGGACCGAGGCCAGTGATGACAATTGTCACGAAGGCTTCTTCGGATATCGATCCTCCGCATCGAAGGATTCTGTCGCGCAGTCCACGACAACGGCTGATATACGCCATCCCTTTTTCACCAGGTTTCATTTCCACTGTTGTCAACTGTGCCATGAGACGACTTTGATTAACACTGTCTGTTGCTTGATACAGGTCCTTCAGGTGGTTGTACCGAGCTCGGCGGAGTTGCCGTACCCTCGATAAGACCGGATGTTCTGCTGTTCCTTCGGAGTTACGTTTCGCAGAAGAATTGTATATGCCATCAGTGACTGATACGTGTACTGTTGCTTGTCGTACTGCGTCCCATGTGTTGGGTATTGCAGGGATCCGTCGAAGAATCCGAGAATCTGCGCGCCTTCCATCATTAGCTCAAACTCGAATGACCAGGTATAGAAGTCCTTTCCGTCAAAGGGTGTCGATGTTTGCAGTTTCAAAACGTGTGCGAACTGTGATTGAACCTGAAGCGAGTCCAGTGTCTTCTCTTGTCTAGGTGAAGGCTGTTGGTGTGGCATGAAGCTGATGGAGCCACGTTGAGGTTCGTACGGGGCAAAGGTAGGTTGCTGCTTGTTTCCGCGCGCATAGGATGAACCGTCAAGGCTCATTGGAGTAACCCCATTGTTGTTGTCGCTGTTGTTTGAGTGCGCAGGTGCTGCTTGCTGGTGCTGCTCGTAGGACATGAAGGAGAAAATTTTCTCCACCATGCTTGGGTCAAAGCCTGTTGTTTGATTCCCGGGAATTTCGGTAGACTCCGCAGCTGGTCTTGTTGCTATGCCTTCCTCTGTCTGTAGGCCAGAGGCGGTGGAGTAGGAGTAGTGCCGGGAGATCCGTTGGAGGAACTCCTCTCCTTCTGAGTTGCCATGCCTTGTGCTGTTGTAGGAGTTTGAGTAGTTGATCTTGCCTTTGGAGGTTTTCATACCATGTTGGGCTGAGAAAAAAGCCCTTAGAATCTTTTCAAGGCTAAGACTTGGAGTAGAGATGTTGTAATTGCGGAAGCATTCCTTAGTAACCTTGTTGAACCAACTTGCACTAGTGTGTGAGAGCAAGAGATTGATTATAGCAAGGTAATACACAGGCTTTTATAAGATTACAAGGAATACGAAAGGGTGCAACTAACTGTTTTGCTGTTGCGGTTCGATACAGTGACGACTCGGGCAACTGCTCAATACCGAGTCAGTTGTTTGTCCTTGCTGTCGCGCTGTATTTCGTCAAGTCAAAGGTCGCTGACCTTTGACCTTCGCGTAACCTCCAGCTGTTACTCACTGTCAACCTCCTCGGTTGACTCGCCGTTGCTCCGGTGTGATTCGCCTCGTTTGTAGTCTATTGTTTCGACACAACAGGAGCGTTAAATTGCTTGTTTCCAACAGGAGGGGCTTACAAGATTGTCCACCCCCAGAAACTCTACTGCACAAAGACAGATAGTGCGCCAATCATCTGTACAGTACATCTTATGGTATAGAAGAAGTTTATTGACAATGTTTTGGAGAGAAGCTACTGTAGGTTATGAAGAAGCTGGCTCATCCTCCATAACAATTTGCTCCATGGTAACGTTTTCGTTGGTGTAGATTCAACCATCAGCTTCCCAATACCTAAAACCATGATGACTGACTGGCTATGAGGCAGCTGGCTCATCTTCCATGGTGATTTGCTCCATGGTTACATTCTCATTGGTGTAGATGCAACAGTCTGCTGCGATGCGCATCGCCTTTTTCACTGTAGACAAGACGAAGAAAATGGCCGAAAAGAGAAACCAATGGAGGGGAGGAATTGTAAGGAGAAAGCTAGAGAGCAGGAAATTGACACGAGAGTAGTGCAGAGGTGAGTTTTGAGCCGACTCAAAAGTCACCTAGAGAGCAGGAAGTTGACACGAGACTAGTGCAGAGAACCTGGCCATGTCAATGACATGCCACCATGACCTCTCACACGTTCAAGTGTTCCCAACAGACATGCCATGCCATACCCACAACATCCCCATCCCCATACCATGCTCTCAACTCAGAGATGTCTGCCGATGCCCCATTGCAACCCCTCCCCTCCCTTCTCATTCCCATCATCTCCCATCATATCACATGCCATTCCCGAACCATGCACCTATGGCTTCAGCACTCGTGCTGCCATGCCATGTTGTGTGTGCACGCAATTCCAAAAACAAGCTGTACCATGGCCCACACCACGCCACACCACACCACACCACACCACACCACACCACACCACACCACACCACACCACACCACACCACACCACACCACACCACGTGTAGAAAGTAGATTTTTGAGACGTCTCAAAAACAAGCTGTACCATGGCTCACACCACACCACACCACACCACACCACACCACACCACACCACACCACACCACACCACACCACACCACGCACCTATGGCTTCAGCACTCAGGTCAGGGACGTCTGCCAATGCAATTCCATCCATCCCATGCCACTTCTATAAGCCATCCCAACAAGCCATCCCAACAAGCCATCCCAACAAGCCATCCCAACAAGCCATCCCAACAAGCCATCCCATGCCACTTCTACAAGCCATCCCAACAAGCCATCCCAACGAGCCATCCCAACAAGCCATCCCAACAAGCCATCCCAACAAGCCATCCCAACAAGCCATCCCAACAAGCCATCCCAACAAGCCATCCCATGCCATGCCATCCCAACCCCATGGCACGCACCTATGGCTTAACCACTCAGGTCAGGGACGCCTGCCAATGCAATCCCATCCCCTTGCACCCCTCCCCATCCCCTTGCACCCCTCCCATCCCCTTGCACCCCTCCCATCTCATCTCATCCCATCCCATCCCATCACAACTCATCACGCCTCGCTCCTATGGCTTCAGCCGTCAAGTCAGAGATGTCTGCCAATGCTTTTGCTGTCGCCAACACATAGGGACCTCCACTCACTCCGCCATGCCCACTGATCATTCCATGCCACCTTACATGTGCCATGCCAATCCCATTCCCATGACATCCCCACGCCACGCACCTATAGCTTCAGCCATCAAGTCAGAGATGTCGGCCAATGCATGAGGATTTACACCCTTGCCCGTTGGCCAAGCCATCACCACCCCATTCCACACCATCCCATCCCACCATACCCCGCCACGCCACGCACCTATGGCTTCAGCCGTCAAGTCAGGGATGTCGGCCAATGCCCGTGCTGCCGCCAACGCATAGGGCCCTCCAGAACCGATGCCTGGGGGAAAGGGGGAAGAGAGGGGGGAGATGGGAGGGAAGGAAGCGGGGGAGGGGGCAGGAGGTGGGAAACGTGGGGAGGGGGTCAAAGAAGGAAGATTTTTTCAGAAGCTCTTCAGATGCCTCCCTATGCCCTCCGGGGTGACCCCCTCCGGGGCTCTTCAGATGTCCCAACTCTTAGTGCCCTCCGGGGTGACCCTAAATCCTAGACTAAAAAACCGGCTCTTAGTGCACTCCGGAACCAACGCCAGGTGCCTCGCGGACGACTTTTGAGACGTCTCCAAACAAACCTTCAATCACAGGAGCAGGGGCAGAAGAGCTTGTTTCTTGTGAACGAGCAGCACGAAGCTGGGGGAAGAACAGGGGTTCTTCAAACATGTCACATCCTTGAAGCTCTTCTGCCTGTGCCCCATCCTGTGGCTCCAAACATGTCACAAGAGCTGCATACTCACATGCCCGTGGTGGTGAGAGAGGCACCTTGGCTTCTGCAGTCAGAGTCAGATCAGACACACCTTGGCGTCTAAAGCGTATGTGCACACATGATTCGGTGCGTACCAAGCCTGTGTGCCCCATACGTCACTTCACTCACCGATAATCCCATCATGTGGCTCCAACACGTCTCCGTTGCCGGTTATTGTGAGCGACACCTTGGCGTCTGCCATGCCATGCCACACACACACCGACTCACCGATAATCCCATCATGTGGCTCCAACACATCACCATTGCCGGTTATTGTGAGAGACACCTTGGCATCTGCCACTACTAGCATGGCCTGTAGAGGGCGAGAGGGAGAGATAGGGGAAAACAGAGGGACGGAGAGGAAGAGAGGTGAAATCGGGTTCATGCTTGGGTGCTGCGTGTGATGAGGCGATTTTTGAGTCGACTCAAAAATCGCCTCATCACAATCGGGTTCATGCTTGGGTGCTGCGTGTGATGAGGCGATTTTTGAGTCGACTAAAAAATCGCCTCGTCACAATCGGGTTCATGCTTGGGTGCTGTTTATTGTGAGAGATACCTTGGTATCCGCCCCGCCACTACTAGCATGGCCTGTGGGCAGGAGAGGTGAGGGAGGGAGAGCGATGAAGAGGAGGGGAATGAGGACACCTTCTGCCACTACTATCAGGTGGATGAGTGCCGGATAGTGAGAGCGACACCTTGGCGTCTGCCACTACTAGCATGGCCTGTAGAGGGCGAGCGGACGAGAGAGGGAGAGGGAGAGAGGGAGTGAGGGAGAGAGGGAGAGGGAGAGGAAGAGGGAGAGAGGGAGAGAGGAAGAGAGGGAGAGAGGGAGAGGAAAAGGGAGAGAGGAAGAGAGGGAGACAGAGAGGGAGAGAGGAAGAGGGAGAGAGGGAGATGGGAACGGAGAAATGATGCACGGTACGAGACATCTTGTTGTGAGACATCACATCACCATGCCTTTGCCAGCAGCGGAATCGGCTGCTTTTGAGTCGAAGGGGAAGAAGGCTCAACAAACATCCCCACACCCCCACCACTCCACTCCATCCCTCTACCTCCCCCTTCCCTCCACCCCCATCTCACATCCAGCTTCCTCAGGTGCTCGTCGGTTCGTCACGCCTTTGCCAGCAGCTAGATCAGCAGCTAACGTGCAATCAGCTAAATCAACACCCCCACACCACCACCCACCGCACTGCATCCCTCTTCCCTCCCCCCCCCCTCTCACCACACCCCTTCATCTCACATCCACCTTCCTCAAGTATGTGTCTGTGCGCCACGTCTGTGCTAGCTCTACTGCTGCTCGCACGTTATAACTTGACCCACCCACCCCACCCACCCCACCCACCCCACCCACCCCACACACCCCACCCACCCCACCCACCCCATCCACCCCATCCACCCCACCCACCCCACCCACCCCATCCACCCCACCCACCCCACACACCCCACCCACCCCACCCACCCCACACACCCCACCCACCCCACACACCCCACCCACCCCACCCACCCCACCCACCCCACACACCCCACCCACCCCACCCACCCCACACACCCCACCCACCCATCCCCACCCACCAATCCCTGTCCCCCACCCCCCCCAATCTCACATCCAGCTTCCTCAGGTACTTGTCCGTTCACCATGCTTTTGCCAGCTCAATACCCACCCATCCCCACCCACCAATCCCTGTCCCCCACCCCCCCCAATCTCACATCCAGCTTCCTCAGGTACTTATCCGTTCGCCATGCCTTTGCTAGCTCTACTGCCGCTCGCGTCAGCTGGTAGGGAGAGAGAGAGGGAAGAAGGGGGAAGGGGGCACGGGGAAGGGGGAGGGGGGAAGGGGAAGGAGAAAGGGAGCACGGGGAAGGGGGAAAAGGGCATGGGAAGGGAGGGAAGGGGAAGGGAGAGGAGAAACGGGAGCCAGAAAAATGGAAAGGGGGGAAGCAGCAGGGAGCAAAGTAAGCGAGGGAAGGACAGCAGAGATATGGAAAGGGGCGGGGCAACTTCGAGCGAGCCGAAGTCGATCACGCTGCTGTGAGTTGAAAGTCAGATTGAGGCGGGAATGCATTTAATCAACAACACTGAGGATGCTGCGTGTCATGGCATGGCATGGCTGGCATGGTATGGCATGGCATGGCATGGCATGGCTGGCATGGCATGGCATGGCTGGCATGGCATGGCATGGCATGGCATGGCATGGCATGGCAGGGCATGGCATGGCATGGCAGGGCATGGCATTTGAATTCTCAGAACCAGCATTCATCTTATCGCATGCACCTGGCCTGAAGGTTGGGATGGCCGTGAGCATCGGTGTTGGTCGATAGGAGCCATGAATGGAAAATGCACAGATCATGCAGGCAGGCAGGCAGGCAGGCAGGCAGGGAGACAGGCAGGCAGGCAGGCAGGGAGACAGGGGAGCCAGGCAGGGAGCCAGGCAGGGAGCCAGGCAGGGAGTCAGGCAGGGAGCCAGGCAGGGAGCCAGGCAGGGAGCCAGGCAGGGAGTCAGGCAGGGAGCCAGGCAGGGAGCCAGGCAGGCAGTGCAAGTAGAGTGAGGGAGGTTGCATTGCAAGGTGGTGATAAGGGAGGGGAGGAATGGAAGTAAAGGATGGGATGGGAGAGCAGGGACGGGGGGGTTGGGGCGATTGGGGAATTGGGGAAGAGAGGTTGACAGGTTGAACAATATGCGACAAATTCCACGAGTAATGACACGAGATGATTTTGTTGTAAGCACCTTAAAATTGTTGGGGAGAGAAAAGGCAAAATTGCAGCAAACACCTGACTTGCAGGATTGAACGTGACTCGACTATCTGCAACTGGCAGGCTAGCAAGGCAGATATACCTGGATATTCGTCCAATTCGAGACTCGAAGCGGCTTACGAGGCGCCTCAAAACCGCGAGACATGAGACGACTTTTGAGGCGCCTCAAAAGGCAGGCTAGCAAGGCAGATGTACCTGGATGGATATTCGTCAGTCCGAGGCTGCTTTTGAGTCGACTAAAAAATAGACTCGTCACAGGCAGGCAAGCAAGGCAGCTGTACCTGGATATCTTTTGAGACGTCTCAAAAGTCGTGTACCTGGATATCTTTTGAGACGTCTCAAAAGTCGTGTACCTGGATATCTTTTGAGACGTCTCAAAAGTCGTGTACCTGGATATCTTTTGAGACGTCTCAAAAGTCGTGTACCTGGATATCTTTTGAGACGTCTCAAAAGTCGTGTACCTGGATATCTTTTGAGACGTCTCAAAAGTCGTGTACCTGGATATCTTTTGAGACGTCTCAAAAGTCGTGTACCTGGATATCTTTTGAGACGTCTCAAAAGTCGTGTACCTGGATATCTTTTGAGACGTCTCAAAAGTCGTGTACCTGGATATCTTTTGAGACGTCTCAAAAGTCGTGTACCTGGATATCTTTTGAGACGTCTCAAAAGTCGTGTACCTGGATATCTTTTGAGACGTCTCAAAAGTCGTGTACCTGGATATCTTTTGAGACGTCTCAAAAGTCGTGTACCTGGATATCTTTTGAGACGTCTCAAAAGTCGTGTACCTGGATATCTTTTGAGACGTCTCAAAAGTCGTGTACCTGGATATCTTTTG